TAGGTACTGTTATGGGGGGGATACCTCCCCAAATCATAAAACTAATCCCAATATAGACACCCTACGTTCTACCATATGAGTGCTTAGGACCCTTTGGGTTAGGGCTTTGATGTGTTTTTTGTGTGTTGTTTGTTATTTGTTTGGTGTTTAGGGTTCATGGTTTAGGGTTGGAGCAGGATTGCAAGTAAGGCAGGCCTTCTGGCTTGCAGTGTCGGGTGTGTTTAGGTGGCTAGAGTGTTTTATCGAAGGTTTTGGGGCTGAGTAGGTCACCTTTAACCTTTTTGGGGCTTATATACCCCTACTATAATAAAAAAGTCAACCTTTTCTTGGGCTAGGGTACGCAGCCCCTAAGGAAGGCTTGGTCATTAAGCCTTAAACCCTAAACCCATGGGGTTTGTTGAGGGGTTTTGCAGGGAGTTGGATTGCTTATTTATTATGTTGTGGGGTTTGCGGTTCTTGGGGTTCAGGGCATGGGCCCTGGGCAGGAATACTGAGTGCAAGCATTGGCTTCAGGCTGTAGGTCTAAAGCGAAGCGGATTTAGGGTTTATAAGGGCTTTGGGGTTTTAGGGTTTAGGGTGTAGGGTATTTCGAGGCTAGCGCATTCTGGGGTTTAGGGTACCATTGGGCCATAACTGGTAGACGCTATTGCTCATTGCGCTTCATGGCTTCGGGGGCCTTCATCAATACCATATTACCTTAAGCTCATAGATTATTGACGAAATAAGCCTTTAAAGGGTTTAACGCTCCTTTGGTCCTTAAGGTAATGTCCAGTTTCTGTTGGGGTAGGAAAGACTCGCAACCCAGACCTGCGTTCTCAACTCAATCCAGAAATCTAATCCGAATATACCTTCTCACATTGCGCACCATCTATCCTTCTACCCCTTAAACCCCACCCCTCAGGTGCTGAACCCCAGAAATGCTAATCCTTCGTAGACCCAAGAGAGAAACCCTTGTAGAAACCCTTACCCTTGCCCTCAAAGGGCTCATATTCTAAGGCTTTTGGGCCCAAAGACCCTATTACATAAGGCGTTTGTGCTATTTTTGAAGCTACAGGTTTTAGAAACCATGCAAATCATTTGGATAACACTTATAGAACCCTGTGGACCCTGATGGTGACCCCGACACCACCTTTCCAAAGCGTCCCAGGTACTGTTATGGTTTAGGGTTTAGGGTTATGTGGGGTACTTCCCCAAATCATAATGGTAATTCTTAATATAGAAGCCCTACATTCCACTATATAAATACTTGTAGAAGTCCTACATTCTACTATATAAATACTTTTGGACCCTTTGGGCCTTGAGGTGGTCGAGGAGCTTTTCGTGGAGGCCAAAATCATGGCGACCCCCTCAGCTTGACCGGGGCTTCCTGCTTTTTGGTTTTGGGATTGCAGGGTGTCTCACGTCTGTGCAGAGGTACTTGCAACATATTATTATCATTATTAGCATTATTATTGTTATTGCTTTTTGTTTTGGGATTGTAGGGAGTTTAGGGTATAGAGTGTTAGGTTTAGGGTTTCAAGGGGCGAATCGGCTCATGGACAAAATCCTGTACTTTCCATAATCGCACACCTGCGATATTCCCGTAGTTCAGGGTACTTAGTGTAATGCGGAATGGTTTGAATGAACCCCCTAAACCGAAAAGCAACCCTATGCTAACTACTAAAGCCCTATATATTTAACACTGGCTTAAGGCCCCTGTACTACCCTGCTTGTAGTAGCCCTTGTAGATGCCTTTTAAAGGATCCCTGTTCGAGTTTCAATGGTTTGGGCGCCTATATTCTTGTAGCCTCAGCCATCCATTCAACAGTACAGGCAGCCTTATTGAAGCAGCCAGCACAGATGAGCCCAGAGAGCCCAATGTTATGCTATGTATCTGCCCTATACATACTTGTAGCCCCAAGCCTAGGTTAATCTATACACAGTTACAGGACTAGTCTTAGATCACCGGGGTAGTAGTTCAAAGAATGTATGTTCCATCTTTGGGGTTATATATTGTTATGATTTGATATAACAAAGTTGTAATATACATATATATATATACACACACATAATAATAACACAGATACTAGTAATAATAATAAGAATAGTAGAAATATTAATGATACTACTAATACTAATTTTATGTATGTCTTGGTCTCGCTCTGGGAGCCTTTGAACGGATTGCAGCCTTCGCAGTGCAAGGCCCGAGCCCGAGCTTCCCTCGCAAACGCGAGAAGCGAGGCTTCCCTTAAGGTTACTTTCAGGCTTCCCGTAAAGGTCCAAATAAGGTGATCTATTATAAGGGTTACTGTGAAGGTCTTAGGGTTCCTTCGAAGGTCCCTTGCTGGGGGGTCTATAAAGGTTGCTATCGATGCTTTTTGGTTCCCTTGAGGGTATATCTCTTTCCGAAGCGACGCCATGGCTGTGGTTTCCGTGGGGAACGACTTGCAGACCCCCATCGAAGTGAAGCTTCGAAGTGGGGACTGGCAGGTGGTGTATCCCCAGAAGTCTTGGGATGTCGACGTATCGGATGTAGTGGCCACTTCCGTGGAGATCCGGTTGCGAGAAAATCCAGCATTGAAGGGCAGCTGCAAGGTTACCGATGGCTCCTCAGTATCTTAGATTGCCAATGGCAGAACTTTAACATTTAGGCTTGTTTGCTTTATATGCTTGGTCTACCTTGTTAGAAAGCTTGAACTTTTTTTTGGGCCGGGTTGTAGAAGAAAGGAATTATGGGCCTCCGTGGACGTCGAATCTTTCAGCCGAGAGGTGAAAGGCCGCGACCGAGCCGAGGCCCGGGAGTTGACCCGCGAAGGAAAGCGACGGGAGGAAGCCCAGATGCGGACGGAAGCGATGATCCAGGAGGCTGTCACCAAGTGGCGGAGCGCAACATTTGTGAAGAGTTTGTCAATTTTCATTGGCCTTGATTTACCCATCCTGATCCTTTCCGTTGTAATTCCGCCCGGAAGCGCTCTTGGGGCCGCAGTGTTGGAGTTCTTGGCGTTAGTGTCAGGCATCCCCTTCATTGCTCTGGGTGTTGTTTTCAGCTGGCCAAGACTAATGGACTCTGCTTTTGGAAACTACGCTGTCTTGTTCCGTTTTGGCTTTCGTCTTCTGGGGTTCCTTGCGCTGGCCTTGCTGCTGCTGCAGACGGTCCAACACGCTCTGCAAGGATTCTGGTGGACTGCAGCCATCGTTTGGGGTGTGTACTCATTGTATTGTGTTTGCGTTTCTGTCGTCATTTGCAGGGTTGGGATTCCGCGGAAAGCTCAGGCCAGGCTAGAACAATATTTTCATAACAAAGCTGAACTCTATCTAGAACGAGAGCACAAGGCAGCCCAACACGAAGTCGGCAACCGTACCATCCGCTTTGAAGGGAGCGTCATCCGCGAACGCGGGCGGCCGTGCGTGGCCAGCTGGCCTGGGAGTACGCGGGAGCATGGGAATCCCTCGTGTCGCAAGGCCGGAATGGCGAGGTCAGCGCAGCGGTGGTGTTCCTCCCTGAGGGCACGGACGACTACGGCCAGTGCGACAGCATCCCCGAAGCTGAAGGCTTGCCCGGCACCTGCTGGTGCACGCCCCTCTACGGTGAACAGAAGCCCTGGGGGTGCAGGTGGTTTACCAAATGGCGGGAGAACATCGAGACGGCGGTGCAGTCCGGAGCAGAGCTGGAAGTTTACTACTTCCAGAACCGCGTTGGCAAAGGCAAGGTGGAGAGCTTCGACACGGCAGGCGACGACAACCTCCACAGGGAGAAGGTGAACCAGAAGCAACGCGACTTCGAGGAGTCTCCCGAGTTCCAGCAGGCGCTGGACGCAGGTCTCGGCAACCTCTCCAAGGAACCGCGTGGCGACGGATCCTCCCAGTACAGCCGTGAAGCCCGGCGCCTGTTCCTCGCCTCCCTCTCGGAGACAGAGCGCGAGTATCTGGCCACCGCAGAGGGCCTCGGCAACTCTCAGAAAGCCGAGGTCGCCTGGCTGGAAAAGAAGTGCTACACATACTGGGAGGTGGACGTCTGCACGTGGCTCCCGGGAGAGGGAGTTGAGAGATGCGTCCCGCTATCTGGCGAACGAGAACCGCAAATTTATGGCCGGCAACATGACTTTTCACCAGTCTCAATCTCGATAGCTAAAGAATAGGAATTCAGAGCGACGAAATGAACCATAGAAGGTTCGTAAGTTCATAGACTACAATTACAGAGATTCAGAGTACAAGAGTATACCTACTCTTAAGGCTCGTTGCTCATTGGTCTTTAACAAGATATGGTCTCGTTTTGAATTGCATTTCCTGGCATCTGCCGAACAGATTCCGTAAGGACACGACCGGCAGGATGATGTGCCACAAATCTTTATAAGTTCGATCGCCACAGAGCAGAGAAGAAGTTTTGGAACAGACTTGGTAATGCCAAAATGAAGCATGCAGCACTCAGGTCATTGCAACCCGCAAACCCTGTGTTGGCCAAGTGTCGATCAACACAAGGCACGAAGAACGCAGCAAGAACCTGTGCCGACGGCCCTGTGAGCCATTTTTCCTAATTTAAGATCCCTCAGCTGTCATGTCCCAGGCAACACTAAAAGCCCTAAACTGTGCAGGTTTATAAGGCCGAGGCATGCTCAAAGAGGCTTGCATTGCGAGCCGTGTCTTGCATTGAAATTGAGACCGTGGCGCATGCCGAATGTCCACGTGCCACGAGTCATACTTTTTTGGTGACTTGGTTTTTCGCACGTACTTTCCGTCGTGACACTCCTTATAATCCGCTTTCCACACATGAGCAAATTATGAGTTCTACGTTTTGATAATAGCGTCGATTGCAGTGCGTGCCGAAGGGCCACATGCCCCAGATCGTAGCTTGTTCGCCTTGAAGCATTGGCAATTGCTGATTCTTCACATCGGCATCCGGTGTTTCTGAAGATGTAAAGCGCCGATCAAAACCTAGGCGCGCGGAGTGCGCCAAGCACATGGGTTTCGGAGTTTAGGTTTTCTTTTTTGGGGGGATTTGTATTTCTTATGCCGGAGCAAGACAAGGCATCTTTGAAGGGTTTGTGGGGCCTTGCATGATTGTTTCCTGAATCGGGCTGGGGTTTAGTCATTTAGGCTTTAGGGTTTCGGGCTTTGTGATTTAGGATTGGGGCGGTTCGAAGTTCGATGGTATTTATAGGGGACCGGCTACGCTTTGCTGATGGTGACTTATAAGAGGGTGTCAGCAAGGTTCTACATAGGAGTGTATAGATATCTGTACCATCCTGTACCCCTTAATTTCCGGGTTCCTGAAATTTCCCGAGAGGGAATCCTTACGCACCGCACCTCCTCTTCTCCCACCCTGAAACTCTCATGAAGGGTTTTGCTGGAATTCAACTTCAGACTACATAGGGCTTCGTTTCAGATGTTTGGTGGATTCGGCGTATGCGAAGTATATGGCTCTCTGGGTTAAGCTTGCGATTGCAACACTCCGTGGGGTCTTTGTAGGGTTCAGGGATGAAACAGGGCTCCAGGGCTTAGGTGCCGGGGCTCTAAAGAGGGGGAACTTCAAATTTGGGGTAAAATTACTTTTGTAAACTTAATGGATAGTGTTGCAGTTGGGCCCCCATACTTTTGAGCCTAATCCGGTCCTGATAAAGATATTACTTCCTGTTAGGGCTCCTTATCATACCAAGGCCCCAATATCCGACCCACATACTGCCCCTGTATAGTGGTCCTATGTAACCCTGATAGACCCCTTTGAATGAATCCCTTCAAGGAGCCCTACGCTGTTTATCGAGACCCTGATATTTAGCCCGTCTAGTAACACTTACAGATCTTCAGGCCCTTGTAATAAGCCTTGTAGTCCTTATAGATGTCTGTTAAAGGATCCCTTGCTTCCTTTATAGGGTTTAGGGTTCCCTTTTCTCTGTAACTATGGCCATTCAGTACAAGCAGGCTCTAGAAAAGCAGTCAGCACAGATGAACCCAGAGAGTCCAACAGTCCCACATTCTGCCATTTTTTGGCCTTACTTGTAGCCCCAAACCCGACAAGCTAGTAAGAGTGTATTACCCTTACAACAGTAGGTCTTGGAACCCCCAGGTAGTTCAAATCCTAAACCATCCTGAACCCTAAACCCCTTAAGCCCTAAACCCAATAAACCCTATAAGCCCTATAAGTCCTATAAGCCCTATAAGCCCTAAACCCTCAAAACCCTAAACCCTATAAACCCTAAACCCCCTAAAGCCTATAAACCCTATAAGCCCTATATATATCCTAAACCCTAAACCTTATATATAAACCCTAAGCCCTAAACCTGATAT